TCTGACGTTCTCCGTTACTTTGGAGTGTGCTATTGATTATTTTCCTCCATTTTTGGTTTGAACATTGGGCTTTTGGGTTACTATGTTATAGCAACAGTCATTTATTCTCAGAAGCTTGACAAGGTTATGAGTTTTACACTTTCCATGGCCAAATAGAGACAACAGCAGCAATAATCTGTGGGCTTAAGAACTAATGTCTAGAAGGCAGTTTAACAGGCCTATCATGTTTGTTTAATAGGGTCAGAGCAGTTCCTTCCCCACTGGAACCTATGACCTCCACAGCCATAGGTCTCTGTCTTAGCTTACAGTACCAGGCAGATGTTTCCTCCAGTGAGGCCAGTCTTCAATCCAATCAGAAAGTAATTGATGACCCTGGTGGGTACATCTTGCATGGCATGTTGGTAGTGGAGCTTGCAGGTCCATAGCGGAGCAGGACTGTGAGCAGTAGTCATCCCCACACCCCCACCCCCACCAGCCTGCATATTGCTTTTTGACATTTGGAAAGCCAGCCAGCAATGCTGGAGCTCCCAGCCCAACTCCAACCTGATACCTCCATGTCCTCCAACTGAAGTGTGTGGTGTTTTAAGCAGTAGAGTTCTCCCTGTTTAGTTCTGGCTTGCCTCCAACAGCAGTAGCAGTAGCCTGTATTGTTTTGGAGGCCTTAGGGGCCTCCTTAGCCAATAACTCATGGGAAGTAGTCCACCTTTTATACTAGGATTTTTACCCAACAAGCTTAATGTCTCCTGAGTGCCCTTTCCCACCCATGCCTGCTTTTATTCAGATTTCCCAACTGCTGTTGTTACTGTCTTTCCAGATGCCTTTTGAAATCTGTAAGACTCTCAACGCGTAATAATATATAACAAAAGCTTTTCTTTTGCATGTATTTGTGTGCATGCTGTGTGTATGTGTGTTTCTGTATGTGTGGGCTTACGTCTATGGTGGGTGAGTGTGCACATGATGCATGTGGATGCCCAAAGGTATGATATCTTTATATGTTGCTCTTTACTTCTATTTATTGAGGCAGGGTCTCATTTGAACCCAGATTCCGCCAATCAGCTAGGATCTTGTTTCTGCCTGCTACACCTACCCAGCTTCTGTGTGGATTCTGGGGATCTGTATTCCAGTTTTTTAACATGTGCAGGGCAAGCATTTTCTCCGTGAGGCTTCCCCCAGCTCTAATGAAAACTTTCTATAGAGGGTGGGTAGGATCACTAAAAGCCCGCTCCAAAGTCTGCTGTAAGCAAGTACCAGATAGTCTTAGGTGGATAAGGAGACACTAAAAATGAAATGTTAGTAAGGTTCAACATAGCAGGAGAGATCTCATCACTTGTGTCAATTTTTGGCTCAAAGAGCAATGTTGGGTATGACAGTTGCATGGGTAGCTAGCCCTCCATAATCCACAGTCATTTCTATGAGCATCCTGAGTGCTGATGTACACCTTCTGACCTCTGATGACTTTGGCTGGGGCTGACTTGTGCTGGTTAGCTTGATTCTTGCCCAAGGGGAAGCAGGGCTGCAGTTTATCTTGCTGTGCTAGCTGTTGGAGCTGCCCAATTCCAGCAAGCTCTGGGCCAGTATGGTGGCACTTACCTTCCCATCACCAGACTGTTGAAAGGATCCTGGCCTGTGTGAACCAGGTCCACTTGCAGTGTATTTTCTTGCAGGGGAGAAATGGACACCACATACTCTGGAGAAATAGCTGTCCACTTCTGGAACAAACAATCTTTTTTTACTTCCACTTTTTTTTTTTTTTTAAGCATTGATGCATTCTGTGAATTTTTGCTTGGGCTTCAAAGTTCCCCAGAAGTTCACTGGCACCACATTTTTTTGTTAATTTTTTCACTAACAACTCTTGTTCAATACAAGTCTTGGCACATGTGCCTTCTTACTTATGTCCTGAACGGAACCCAGTCTCTGCTTTGTTTTTCTCTCATCCCATTTGAATGCTTTAGCATCTTACAAACTAAACTTATGTATATGCCTATTGAATTATGTCTTTCAGGGCCTCTCCTACCTCATAAAGATCTTGTCCAACCATGGGATTCAACAAAACCACTAAAGCCCCATTCCTGTCCTGAGTGCCTGTTGAATGAAGTGCATTTCTTACTGGTTTACAGGCTTTGGTCTAAGTAGTTCGGCAATGGCTGTCTCTCAAAGGGAAGGCCAAGGATCTGATTGGTGTTCAGTCCATGAGACTGGATGTCTCAGCAGTCCTAATCTGGTGCTGGAGTCCCAGGGAAATCCTAGAGAGCTTTCAGTTTTCAGTCTGCACTAGAATCCTAAAGAAGTAGGTTCTAGCACCAATGAGAGAATGGCTCATGAACAGGATAGATGACCTTGCCAGTGAGACTGAGGGCAAGCAGGCAAAAAGCACAAGCTTCCTTCTGTGGGCTGTCAACGGAAGGTGTGGCCCAGGTTTAGTGTGGATCTTCTGACCCAAATGATCCAACCAAGGAAAATTCCTCACAGGAGTGCCAGCTGCTTAGGTTTTGGTCAATTCCAGATGTAGTCAACTTCAAAACCAAGATTAGCCATCATAGTAAGTGTGTATATAGATGCTGTACATGTGCTATAGCATCCACATAGAGGTAGATGACAACTTACGGAAACCAGTTCTCTTATTTCAAACACTGGGTTCTGGTGATTGAACTCAGGTTGTCAGGCTTGTGAGGCAAAAGTGTTTAGCTGCTGAGCATCTCACTGGTCCTTCTTTCCTTAAAACTTTTATATTTATCTCCTCTCTCTCTCTCTCTCTCTCTCTCTCTCTCTCTCTCTCTCTCTCTCTCTCTCTCTGTGTGTGTGTGTGTGTGTGTGTGTGTGTGTGTGTGTATACAGTAGCACACATGTGGAGGTCAAAGGACTTCCTTCTATCATGTGGATCCTGGAGGTTGAACTCAAGTTGTTGGACTTTCTGAACCATCTATAGTGCTTTGGGGCCCAGTAGACGGGGCATTAAACCCTGCCTTTCTCATGCCTAATCCCTTGGGAATGTCTGCCCCTCTGTTGTCTTCCAGAAGCCTCAACCTGTAATAACCAAGTGTTCCAAATGACTTATGTGAGACAGTCCATCAGAGGCTTTATTTCCCTTGTATTGCCTTAGGTTATGCAGCTTTTGGCTCAAGGAAGGATGGGTAGTTATTTTACTCAGTTTTTTTGCTTGCATGGCATTTGGACTGATCATGTCCACCTCCATGTCTAGAGTCTCAGGCTATGAGAAACTCTTTCATTCCCCGTTTAAAAGTCTCCCCCCAGTCCAGGAGATCATATGCAAAATATTCCCTTATTATCATAGTTTCCTATAAGGGCCATTATTCAGGCTTCTGATTGCACACTGAATCATGGACTTTCCCTTTCCTCTGTCTTAAAGGTCAGATTTGAGGGGCATCTTCTCACTTCTATGTTCTTGTACACTACAGTTCTTCCTCCCCTGGGTTCCAAGTTCTTGGGTCCTAGACAGATCACTTCAGATCTGACTTGTATCCTGTCAGCTGTAAGACATGGCAAGGTAGCATCTCCATCCTTGCCCTCCCCATTTCCTGCCAGATCAGAGGCTGATGTAGTATAAATGGACAGTTTAAATAGACAGTTCTCTACCACCAGCTGGTTCTCGAATAACTACTCAGAGGCTTAATATGACTTATAAATGCTCAGCCGGTAGCTCAGGCTTATTACTAACTTGCTCTTACACTTAAATTAACCCATAATTCTTATCTATGTTTAGCCACGTGGCTTGGTACCATTTCTCAGTATGGCATTCTCATCTTGCTTCCTCTGCATCTGGCTGGCGACTCCACCCTTCCTCTTCCCAGCATTCTTAGTTTGGTCACTCTGCCTATACTTCCTGCCTGGCTACTGGCTAATCAGAGTTTTATTAAACCAATTTGAGTGACAAATCTTTACAGTGTACAAGAGGATTATTCCACAGCAGGACAGCACCTGTGTCTTTTGTTTACATAGGCAAGTTCTTTGGGGCAACAGCCAAGGCTCAGTTGCATGTCTTCTTGCCCACAGTAAAGTCTATACAATAGCTGTTACAGCCTGTTTAAGGTCTCGTCCCATATGCACTACTTTCAGAGACTGCAGTGTATTCTCTAGTACATCAATGGGTTGGAAATATCCTTGTATGTACATGGTGGTCACCCTTTATTAAGGAAGCTTGTCACCCCATATTATATACTGTATACTATACCCCATACTGGGATTCCTCCCTAAGGACACTTCAGTCTTAGATGGATGGTGTGACCTTGATCAGATGTCTTACCACCCATTGCAAGAAACAGTAACTGCCACTATAGTAAGGAGGCATACTATGCCATTCTAGCTAGGTAAAGATAGCTATGTTAGGGTTAGCTCCACCCCACCCTCAGACAGATCAGCCTTAATTAACATGTCTCCTCACCCATCATCATAGGGACCATGCAACAACTCTTCTTTGGTTCTATTGGTCCCTCTTTGGGTACCAGTTATGTTGTACAACTTTTATTGGGGCTATATGAACAAACATTTGTCTTCCCTGGGTAGGGCACTAATAACAAACCAAAGAAATGGTTCCCCTTGACTAGTTGGTGAACCAGTGAGTTTGTGTGGGGTTACTTATGGGAGGGAACAAAGGTGACCTAAAGGCAGCTACATAGCAGAAAAGCCCACCTTAGCATTGGTGCACAGCTTCAGTAAGGCCCATCAGACTGTCTCCCCAGCAGTTATTTACTACTTTTATGACATTGTGTGTGTGAATCTTGAGCTTTATGAGACAGTAAGTTTCTTCAACTCTTTGAATCTAGTAAGATTCTCTCCTTCCTCCAGGAGGAAGTAGCCATATAGCATCTTCCTTTTGTAAGTACTAAAGACATTTTAGAATGCAGACTTAATTTGTGCATGCTGCAGGTATCATCAGATACTTTACTACCCATTGCTATCTGCCCATTTATTCCATTTTTAGTTTTTAGTTTTGTACTTCTGTCTTGTACATACCACAAGCCACACTTTTTGTGTAGCAAGATGCTGAGAATACTCATATGCTTTTACCAATTCATTTGCTCATTTCACTCCTTCATTCTGTGATTGCTTTCTTATTTCTTTTTTTCTTTTTTTTGTACAGTGTTCTGCCTGCGTGCCAGAAGAGGGCACCAGATCTCATTACATATGGTTGGGAGCCACCATGTGGTTGCTGGGAATTGAACTCAGGACCCCTGGAAGAACAGCCAGTGCTCTTAACCGCTGAGCCATCTCTCCAGCCCGCTTTCTTATTTCTTAATGTAATTTTTTTTAATTTCTTTTTTTCTTTGAGGACTGAGATCATTTACTCTCATCACTTATTTCCTAATGTAATTTCTTTTTCCTTCTTTTTTTTTTTCTTCCAAGACTGGGTTTCTCTGTGTAGCTCTGGAGCCTGTCCTGGAACTCGCTCTGTAGATCAGGCTGGCCTTGAACTCACAAAGATCTGCCTGCCTCTGCCTCCAAGTGCTGGGATTAAAGGCGTCCACCACCACCGCCCGGCTGTAATTTCTTTAAAAGCTGAAGAGTCTATAAACTGAAATTCTGAGTCTTTTACATTTGCCTTTTATGATTATTATTACTGTTATTATTTGTGGAACTGTGAATTAAACCAGGATCTCAAACCTGTTAGGCATGACACCCCAGCCCTTTAGAGTTTGTTGAGCTGAGGTTGGATTTCAGTGGGAATTACTTAGTATACAGTTTTGTATTGCCCTTGCCGTACTTCTTTTTTGTTGCTATTATTGTTTTTTTTTTTTTCACAAAAGATTACATGTATGGGGGTTTTACCTTAATATGTGTGAGTGTACCATCTGTGTGCCTGATGCCCACGGAGGCCAGAGGAGGGCACTGGATTCCTTGGAACTGGAGCTACAGACTGTTGTGAGCCACTACATGGGTGCTGGGAATTGAACCTGGGTCCTCTGTAAAAATAGTTGGTGTTCTTAACAGCTGAGCCATCATCTCCAGTTCTGTTGTTTTGGTTTTGAAACAGGGTTTGCCTATGTATCCGTGGTCAGCCTTAAACTGGAGATCATCCTTTCTCAGCCTTTTAAGTGATGGGATTATAGGCATGCATCACCAAGTTTGGCTTGGTACCTTTCCTCACGATATAGTTGAGTGTGTGGTTTCTTTCGCCAGTTATGGAGATGCAACTAGTTGTATATGTTGAAGAGGCAGAGGTAGGAGGATCCTGAGTTTTAGGCCAGCCTAAGTTACACCTTTTTTAAATTTTTGTTGTGCAGCTAGAGAGATGGCTTAGTGGTTAAGATCATTTGTTGTTCTTGCAGAGGACCCAGATTCCATTCTCAGCACCCACATGGTGGCTCACAACCATGACTATTTCCAGGGGACCCAATACCTCTTCTGACCTCTGTGGGCAGCAGACACAGACACAGTACACAGACATGCATGCAGGCAAAACATTCATACACATAAAATAAACAAATATTTTAAAAAGTTTTTACTTCTGAAAAAATTACAGCCCGTATTTCCCTCCTTATAAGGCATATAAATCTTTTTGCTGTTCTTGTTTTTGTTTTGAGACAAGGTCTCACTGTATGGCACTGGCTGTCTTAGATTGCTAGTCTAATTCTGAGATCCTCCTGGCTCTGCCTTCTTGAGTACTGAGATTATAGGTGTGTGCCACCACAACTGGTCCATATCATGGTGTATAATGTATAAGGAAACTGATAAAAGAAAAATCCATTTAAAGATTTTCTAATAAGTTACAGTGTAAATTAGTACATTATCTTCATGTCCAGCATCTTCCTCTATTGCCCTCCACCTTATTTTTTAAGATAGAGTCTCTCACTGCACCTGGAGTTACTGATTCGGCTAGGCTGGCTGGCCATTGAGCTCCAGGGGTTCACTTGATTCTATTTCCCCGGTACACACATGCTTCTCTACTCAGCTTTTACTTGGGTACTGACAACTGGAACTTGGGTCTTCATACTTGTGCTAAAGGTACTTTACTGACTGAGCTGTCTACCTTCCTTTTATCAAACAGAGATCATAGGCTGGTGAGGTGACTTAGTGGATAAAAGGGCTGGGTACCGAACCTAACAAGAGTTAGGTCCTTGGAACCCACATTGGTTAAGGGAATAGAAGACTCTTGAAGGATGTCCCCTCTGTGCATGCACATGTGTGTGTGTGTGTGTATACATATTCAAAATGTAAAAAAAATTCGGGGTTGGAGAGATGGCTTAGCAATTAAGAGCACTGACTGCTTTTCTAGAGGACCAGGTTTAATTCCCAGCACCCATATGGCAGCTCACAACTGTCTGTAACTCCAGTTCCAGGGGACCTGACACCTCACACAGAAATACACACAGGCAAAACACCAATGCACATAAAATAAAAATCAATTATTTTAAAAGAATTTCAAACATTTTCTGGTTTGTCTGCTGAGAAGTAGAGCATTAAATATACTTTATGAGGTATCTAACAATTTAGATATTAATATGAGTATATGTTGTACATTGTAATTCTGGTACCTTATAAATGCACATATAATATGCATTGTACATTATGAGCAAGTTGGATAGCCAAAGAATAATGTGGTAATTTAAGTCATAATCAGAATGCCTCTTTATACATCTCTTCATTTAATGGATTGAGTACATGACTGGTGAGTTACTGACCATTCTTGTTATGTGAATGTGCTTTCAATTAGCAATATATGGGGCTGCTTTAACATGGATAACTTCTTTCATTTCAGAAAACTCAGGTTCCTGAATCTCAAAAACCTAGACCAAAAAAAGGTCCGTATATAATTTCACTGTGTGTGTGTGTATATATATATATGTGTATATATATATATATATATATACACCTGTTTCTTTGTCTCATTGATTCTGTTATATATACCAGAGCTTTGTAAAGTGTGTTGGGAAAAGCAGTAATGGTTCAACTCTTACACAATATCTGTTTTTATGTTATCCAGATAAGTTTATTATTGACCTGTAATGTACTTAAATGTTGTTTGGTTAATGTCAGTGTACAGTAATTTTTATTTGTGTAATAAGCATTCGATTCTTGTATAAATCAGACCTCCCCTAGTTTTATGTATGTGTCAAATAAGTGTGACATTTAATTTTAGTTAAAAACTTCTTATGGTTTTGAGACAGGGTCTTGCTATGTCAATTTCCTGAGGGAAAAATCCATGCCCTATTTATCTTTGTTTGAGACTGGCCCAACTCACTGTGTAGCTCAAGCTGATCTTGAACTTAAAATACTTCTTTCTCAGCTGAGACTTATGAAATTCAGTTGTAATTATGCAAGTATCTGACATAATTACTAGTATTTTTATAGCACTTCTGGATATGAGAATCATCCTGCTGTTGCCTCACTTAACAATCAAATGATTGAACTAGTTAGGTGGGGCTAGTATATGCTGTGACTGTCAGTCCAGTATGTATTTTACCCTTTCTGTAGAGTCAGACCCATGCCTCAGTTGACCACAGGCCTAGAAGAGGACTGTGCATCAACCAAGAATTAGTCCAAGGGTCAGCAATATGGCTCAGTGGGTTAAGGAACCTGCTGCCAACCTGATGATCCAAATTCAATCCCTAGGACCCACATGGTGGAAGGAGAGAACCTACTTCTCCAATATTGTCCTCTGACTTCTGCATGGGTGCTGTGGCACATATGTACCCACACATGGAGAGCCGCAAAATAAACTAATATAATTCAGAAACAAGATACTTATATAAATTTCCAAATTCCATGAAGAACTTTATGTGGTATTGTAATTTCTAATGGTTAGTTTAGACATGAGGACATGCTAAAGGAGGAAATGTAACACTGATTACATTGTTTGTTATGTCAAAATATGCTTTCCAGCTCTAGAGTTTCCTATTGTGGAGAAACAGAACTGGTTGATCCATCTCCACTATATCCGGAAGGATTATGAAGCGTGCAAGGTGAGAGACTGCAACAGTGGAGGCATTAGAGGCAGACTGGGCGGACACTAGCAGTGTCCGAAGCACAGCGTGGCAGTTAACATCTTGAATTCGCACCCTACCTTCCTGCTTTAAACTTCATTATTTTAATTTAAATAATAGCTATCTATCTATCTTGACTTTAATCTTGTCTCTTTCAGTGTGTTTCTCCATAGCAAATAGGACCAGGCTCCTTCCTGCTTAAAACTGGTCATGATTTTCCCATTGTACTCAAACCCTTTAGTATGACATTTTTAGTCCTCCTCTTTCTGACCCTCTCGTTTGCCTCAGCTTTTCTTCCACCACTTGCCAACACACAGTTTGAGACTTTTCACGTTAGGAAGCCTTCCTTAATTCTCTGAGTTGGAATCAGATGCTGTCTTCTGAGCTCCTAAAGTACCGGAGCCGAGCCCATCACAGTATAGAACCCATGTGATTTGCTCACCAGAGAATCCCTAGTATCTGTAACAGTGCTTAGAAGTCTTCTCATGTTTTTCTAGCTTCACTAGTTAATATTTTAAATAAGGAGTGAGAACATTTTTGTGTCATGAGCCAGATAGAAGCTTAATTAATTAGTTAATTTTGAGATATGGTCTCACTTTGTATCCATGGCTAACCTAGAACTTGCTAAGTAGACTAGGCTGGCCTTAAACTCACAGAGATCCTCCTGCCCTGCCTCCTGAGTGCTGGGATTAAAGGTGTGTTTGCCTCCATGCCTGGCCAAGACAGCAGTTTAGACTTTAGGGTTACTGTAGTCATCGTCTCTTGTATGTCATCATCGTTTTGTTTTTGTTTCTATTTGAAACAGGGTTTCATGTAGCCCAGGTTAGCCTCAAACTCAATAGGTAGTAGAAGATGACTTTGATTTCTTGATCTTGTCTCTGTGTCCTGAGTGCTGAGTGCAGGTACCACAATGTATGTCTTCTTTTTTAAATTAACGCAAAAACAGAAAACTTACTAAATTTTTTAACTTATGTGTTTGGAATGTTTTGCCTACATGTATGTCTGTGCACCACATGCAAGCAGCGCTTGAGGAGGCCTGAAGATAGTGTCAGGTACTGGAGGTACAGTTAGTTGTGAGCTGCCTTGTGGGTGCTGGTAATCGAACCCCAGTCCTTTAGAAGAGCAGCAAATGCTCTCAAGGCTGAGCTGTCTTTTCAGCCTTAAAAGAAATCTAAGTGAGGGATGTACAGAAATGTTCCGAGAGCCGTTAGATTGCTAACCTCATTCTAAAATAAGTGATGGTAAGAAAAACAAAAATCGCCGGGTGGTGGTGGCGCACGCCTTTAATCCCAGCATTTGGGAGGCAGAGGCAGGAGGATCTCTGTGAGGCCAGCCTGGTCTCCAAAGCAAGTTCCAGGAAAGGTGCAAAGCTACACAGAGAAACCTTGTCTCGAAAAAAAAAAAAAAAAATCCTGAAGTAACTATTTGATTAGTCATTATTAGTATCCTAGGTATCTCATATATGCCCCTTGTCTATTCCTACTCTTTTCTTGATGACACTTAATCACTCAGGTGTTCTTCTCTCTTAGGCTGTGATCAAAGAACAGCTTCAGGAGACTCAGGGGTTATGTGAATATGCTATCTATGTCCAAGGTAAGACATACTGTTTCTTTTCTTACTGGAAAAATATATTTAGCCTAGATTCTTGGGAAACAAAACAACCCAACAACTTAGGGAATACTTAAATTAAAATAATGTCTCACAAAAGTCTTATTCACTATCCTTTGAAATTTGAACCCAATTTTGTATGTGTGTTGCACATACACCTGGAGGTCAGTGCATGACATGGGGTGAGTATGTCGTCCCCACCTCCCCAGACAGGGTTTCTCTGGGTAGCTTTGGAGCCTTTCCTGGAACTCACTCTGTAGCCTAGGCTGGCCTCGAACTCACAGAGATCCGCCTGCCTCTGCCTCCCGAGTGCTGGGATTAAAGGCGTGTGCCACCACCGCCCAGTTATGATTATGTTTTTTTAAATTATTATTTTACATGTTTGAATGTTTTGCCTGCATTCATGTCTGTGTAGCATGTTTATGGCTGGTGCCTGTAGAGGCTAGTAGAGAGCATTGGATCCTCTGGAACTAGAGTTACAGGTTGGTTGTGAGCAACCATGTAGATACTGGGAATTGAACCAGAGTCCTATGCAAGAGTAGCAAATACCCTTAACAGATTGAGCCACCTTCAGCTTTTCAAAATATTATTCTTAATGAAGAATTTCTGTGATCTGCAAAAAGACCAGTTATCTGGGTAGAGATGCTGGTTGCAGAGTGGGTAGGTGAAAGTTAGCTTATTACAGGTTTTACCTTACTAACACTTTACTTGCTTCTGCCCATTTAGTGATGACTGATTCAAAGTTATCCAAAGGCTTTCTCTGATGTGGTATCTTACCTCTTCCTCCACCTTTTCTGATGCTAGCCTCTTCTTCAAAGAATATGGTGTATTTTCTGTGTTTTCTTTTGCTTGGCAGCACTGATTTTACGCCTGGAAGGAAATATCCAAGAATCCCTAGAACTCTTTCAGACGTGTGCTGTTCTCAGCCCTCAGTGTGCTGATAATCTCAAGCAGGTGGCCAGATCTTTGTGAGTATTGGAGCCATCACAGAAGACCACAGACCACATAAAATGCTTTCTCCTGGGCCAGGCAGTGGTGGTACATGCCTTTAATCCCAGCACTGGGGAGACAGAGGCAGGTGGATGTCTGAGTTTGAAGCCAGCCTGGTCTACAGAGTGAGTTCCGGGATTACTAGGGCTGTTACACAGAGAAATCTTGTCTCAAAAAAAAAAAAAAAAAAAAAAAAAAAAAAAAAAAAACCCAAAAACAAATAGAAAGGCTTTTTCCTGAAATGCATTCTGAGGGAAGCCTATTGTTGGTAGCCAGATGCCTGATAGGTGGGAAGCCAGTGAATGGTAAGTAGAATGGGTTTCATTTTGAAGAGCATGAATTAATCTGGAAGTCAGCTAATATTAAGGAACTCAGGTCTTTTTAGTTGGATGAGAACACTGTTTTGTCATAGTGTGTTGTACCATAACTCCTCTATAATCATATAGGCAACTCATTGCCTGTTATTCTGGTATTTAGTGGAATATCTGACATAAAATAAGCTTGTGGTATTTTGAGTGAATGGCTTGCGGATTCCTAAATGGAACCCTTCTGAAGTTGTCATAAACTTCTTCAGAGTAGTGAAGTGTTCTATGCAGTACCATCTCATGTTCCTCCCTCTGTTGCCATTCATACTTGCATCATTTTTACATAGAAATCAATTCTTTTTTTCTTCCAAATTCATGATCAAGGAAAGAAACTTGGCTTCATGAGGAAAAGACATGCCCTTATTGGATGATGTTGACAAATGATGGCAGCTCATGCTTAGTGGTATTATCATTTGACTTTTTGTGTTTGTTTATTTTTATAGAATGCTATAGGAAGTAGTTACAGAAGAGTGCCCCCAACATTGGTGTATGAGACTAAGGTCTTAAACAACTGCTGACGCAAGCCCTGCCTCCGGAGCGTCTGCTCTTGGGACACAGCACTGTCCTTTGTCTTTCCCACATAACCAACTCAAGTGTTTAAAAAAGTTTCAACAGTTTTTAGCTCTGTGGAATATGTGTGAAATGTGAACTTTTAGAGTTACTCTTATAGGAGTTAGGTTAGCTGGTTGTGGCAGTACACACATGTAATCCTAGTACTTGAAGGTGGAGGCATGAGGATCAGAAGTTCAAGGTCATCCTTGGTTACACAATGAACTGGAGGCTAGCCTGAGTTACATGAGAACCTGCCTCAAATCAAACCAAAAATAATGAAATTTGAGTAATTATAGAAAATGTATTTTCACAGATTTCTTCTGGGAAAACATAAAGCCGCCACTGAAGTATATAATGAAGCAGCTAAACTTAACCAGAAAGACTGGGTAAGAAATGTCACTTCTTTCTTAGCATGTTAATGGTTCCATTTTTCAAGTGACTTTTTCTTTGGAGGCAGGGTCTTATTGTGTGTGTAGCCCTGGCTGGCCTCAAATTCATTATGTTGAACAGGCGGGCCTCAAACTCAGAGAGATCTGCCTGCCTTCTATCTCCATAGTGCCAGCCCTTGGCTAGAATTCAGATGATCAAACTGTTTTTTGATTCTGTTTTCAGCATGGCATTTCTGCATAACTTTGCAGGCATTGTTGTATAGTTTCCAGCTGTTAATGTTGCTGATAGTTTTTCCCTGGTCCCATTCTTGCTGTGATTATCTCATCTCATTTCCAAGAGCTCTAGGAGTTGAGTTGTTTTACCTTTGGAATTAGAAAGCATCAGCAGTAGATGTCTTCATTGCTCTTTTTGTATTTTTTTCCCTATCTGCTTGGCAATCAGCTGTTTTTTCTGCCTTTCTTTGGATCATGACAAGTTTAAGCGACGCTTTATTTTCCTTCTACCAGCTTCCCTTTCTCCCTTTCTCTCTTTCTTTATTTCTTTATTCTGATTTGGTTTTTCGAGACAGAGTTTCTCTGTGTAGCTTTGTCTGTCCTGGATCTCGTGTTCTGTAGACCAGGCTAGCCTTGAACTCACAGAGATCCACCTGGCTCTGCCTCCAGAGCGCTCTTCCCTTTCTTATTAGTGTATATTAATTGTACAAAACAATGGGTTTCACTGTGATCTTTTCATCGTTTGACCACAGTCACCGTCCCTATCCCCTTATTTCTACCATGTATTTGTATAAATTGGGGATTATGTGTAAGTACAACACAAAATCAGATTAAACATTCTCTTTATAAATTAAGTCCCCCCCCCTATGAAAATCCATGTCACTGGTTTTGGAATTCATTTGGTAGTCCTAGAATTTCAGGCTGAGATTTACTCATGGTTAGTTAATGGTGACTTATCTAAGAATTATTAATTCTTAGCTAAGGAGCTCAAAGAAGCAAGGAAGAGCAAGCCCTGAGAGCCTGTGCTTTAGCCACAGCCTCTGAAAGGAAGGCTGGAAAGTACACTTAAATGTGGACCGCAACTGGAATAGGACTCCCCAGGAAAGGAAAACAAGAGTGGACCTCTGGTGGATGATCAGCCCTGGCTGGACACTGATTGTCACTTCCTTTCAGACACAGCAGCTCTGTGGCTTTTAACTTGTCTCTCATTTTCTATTATTATTATTTTTTTTTAAAGATTTATTTATTTATTATGTATATAGTATTCTGCCTGCATGTGTCCCTGCAGGCCAGAAGAGGGCACCAGATCTCATTACAGATGGTTGTGAGCCACCATGTGGTTGCTGGGAATTGAACTCAGGACCTCTGTAAGAGCAGTCAGTGCTCTTAACCACTGAGCCATCTGTCCAGCCCCTCATTTTCTATTATTTTATTCTTTACATCCATTTTTACATCTTTACATTTGCTCAGTCTTATCTCCCAGATAGATCACTGTGTTTGCTTTTAGCTGTATATATTCTAGTAGCCTAGCCTTTTCCTTAATTTCAGTAGTTGTATTCTGATTTCTAAGTAGTTTGTCCTCTCTCTCTCTCCGTCTCTCTCTCTCTCTCTCTGTCTCTGTATCTGTCTCGTTTGTTTGCTTGTTTGAGACAGGGTCTCACTATGTAGCTCTTGAGCTGTCCTGGATCTCACTCTGTAGACCAGACTGGTCTCAAACTCCGAGTTCTTCTGCCTCTGCCTCCCCAGTGCGGAACTAAAGGTGTGTGCCACCATGCTTGGCGTTCCTTTCCCTTCTCCCTCCCTTCTCTTCTAGCACCCTCTCTGTATCAGTCTGAAGTTGTGTGTGTTTCCACAGTTACCTTTCTCTTTCTGCTTTCCTTTAGTTGTTTTTATACTGTTGGCTGATCCTTGCAGAGACCTTCCTCTGTAGAGAAGTAGATTGACTATAGTAGAGAGAGAACACAGTTTCCCTTAGAGTACTTAGGGCACTGGTTATGAAAAGTTGAATAACACGTTATTTACTGTGTTTACAGGGTGTTCCGGGTGGGGTCAGGGATAGCCTGTGGGAGCTTGTTCTCTCCATCCACCCATGGTGCAGGGATTGAACTCAAGTCAGCTGACTTGGCCACAAGTACCTTTACCCAATGAGCCATCTTGCCAGCATTATGATTTTCTAAGTACATTTCAATCTCAGTTATTTTTTTCCTCTGGGTGTGGTTATTAACTTGAATTTTTTTCATCCCATCCATCTATGTGTTTTGTCTACACTCTATGTATATGTGAGGACACATGCTTTCGTGAGTGTAGAGGTCAAAGGGCAGCTTGCAGGAGTTGGTGCTTTCCTTCAGGAGGCCGTCAGGGTTGGTGGCAAGTGCTTTTGCCCACTGAGTCATCTTACTCTCACTATCCCCATTGTCTTTGTTCACAGGGTCACATTTAGTCCATGCTGGCCTTGATTAGCTGTGTAGCAGAGGATAGCCTTGAATTCCTGATCCCCCCGTCTGCACCTCCCAAGAGCTGAGCTGAGTTGAATCATTAGAGGCCAAGGTGAAACTACACATACAGAAGCAGCTCAGGAAGCCCTTGGGCCCTGCAGGCGAGCATGAGTAAATACACACTCACTCACTTTCTGATTTTTGTCTTTCAGAAAAATTTGGACAAAGGAAGTTTTAGGATCTGGTAGGCTATCTAAATTGAGATATGTCCAGTGCATAGTTAGATATGAAATCACGATGTTCTAGGTTATAGATGAACATTTTGGAGTCAGGAACATAAAGTTAGTAACTGAACCCATGAAACTGGTTGAGATAGTTATTTGGCAGTGAGTTGAGGATGGAGCTCAGGAAGAGCAGAACAGAAAAAAACAGATGAGTCCGGAGGCCTGGGCAAAGGGGAGATGAAGCACACCTCCTGCTCCGTGTAGCTGAAAGAGCTCACTTGGTATTCTGACTCACTTGGGACAGCAAACAGCCAGATACCATCTATGTGATACCTAATAAATGTCTGTAGGAAATCTTTTAGCTCTACTTTCTTGTACTCATCATGATATTCCAGAGTCTGGTTCTAACAAGGGGATAATAATCCTGTATGCCATTGTCTTGACTTCAGAATCAGCTGGTAAGTAGGGAGAATTTCCACTAATGTCAAGAGAGAAATCTGAGGCTTTGGGGGATGGGATGACATGGCAGAGGGCACACAGTGAGGTAGGAGAAGAACAGAAGTAGATCGCAGCTGCAGTCAAAGGTTGCTAACTTCCTGCAGTGTCTGAGATCTTCCTGCAGTGTCTGCTGCCCTGGCCGGATGTCCCTGGATACTCCTGTCCTATACTCATAAGAGACAGGATTCTGTTTTCTCTTCCACATTTCCTGTGCTATCTGCTCCAGGATCACCTTCAGCAATGTTCACAAGGTCAGGGGTCACTTAGTGTGCAGAGCATCAAATGACAAGAAAGGCAGCGTTTCTCTTGTCTGTCCATGTACTTCTTTACAGCATGATAAAATGGAATATATACAAGTTTTGAGGCAGGCTTGAGTTGAAGGCACAGTTCTTGGTAATGTAGATGTTATTTCAATTATGGTTTAAGAGAAATAATTTTAAAATGTGAGACCTTTCTGAGACAGATACTAGTTTTGTTTTTGAGGTAGGATAATAGTATTGTAGGTTTAAAACAAATTTTTAAAAGATTTACTTATTTTTATTTTGTGTGTGTGCTTTGCCTGCATGTATGTCTGTGTGCCTACATGTGGGAAGTATTTGCAAGGCCAGAAGAGGACATTGAATTTCATGGAAGTGAGGTAATATATGGCCAAGAGCCACCATGGAGGTGCTGGGAACTGAAGCCAGGTCCTATGGAAGAGTTGCCAGTGCTCTTAACTCTTGAGCCATCTCTTCAGCCCTGATTTTTTTTAAAGACCATGTCATTTGAGAAATGTATTGAAATGCTTGTAAATGAAATGTTACACTATTTGGTACTTGGTTATAAAATAATAGTAGATAGTATTGGATGGTTGTCAGGCTCATGAGTCTGTGGTGTTGCTGTTTACATCTGTACATGGTTAGGATACAAAACTAAAGAAAGAAGAAAAAAAATCCCAGCGCTGTCCCCTTCTGTGTTAGGAAAACTGTCTAACCTCTCTGAGCTTCTGTTTCCTATAAAACTAAAAGAACTATACTGATGTTGCAGATTTCTTGGAAAATTAAAGTAATATATATGAAAACATCTGGTATCAAGCCTACTGTATAGCAAGCAGGTGATTTACCACTGATGGTTTTGTTGTTCTAGGAGATGTGGAACACATTAAACTAGTTGTCTCTGTTCCTGAGACAGGGCTGCATTCCGACCACTTACAGGGTGCTGGGCCCTTGCTGCTTTCCAGAAACACTTTTTTTACTACTGGTTTCCTTTCTAAATCTGCTAAAGTCAGATTTATTACAAAGAAATTCCAGAGATTTCACATCACTTATGGCCAGAAGACAGATTAGTCTTACAGTGAGATAGATTTAGAAATTGTCAGCAGCCAAGGTAGTCAAAAAGTGGGCTTTTGATTCATCTTTCTTTTCCGCAGATCAGAGGTTGGCAAACTCTTTTTTGTAAAGGACTACTTAGTATAAAGTTATTACACGTATTTATATAGTATTGCAGCTTTTTACACTTAACTCTGTAGCTACTTAACTCTGTAGTTTTGGTTCTAGTATACAAGAGCCATAGGAAGTAACTCTAGTCTGATAAAATGTAATTTACAAAGGAGAATGGACGTGCCCCACTGACCTTGCTATATAGATTTCAACAGATTAGCCACAGATCTGGGAAGATTCTGTCTGCTCTTGTGGTTCTTATAATCTTTTTTTTAATTTTTAATATTTATGAGTCTAGGTGTTTTTTTTCTACATGGATGTCTGTGTACCACATATATGTGTGGCGCTTGAAGTCCAGAAGAGGGCATGTAACTCCCTGGAACTGGAGTTACAGACAGGTTGTGAGCTGCCATGTGGGTGTTGGGACTCAAAACTCAGGTCCTCTGCAAAAACAAGCAATGCTCCTAACTGCTGAGCCATCACTCCAATCATACATTTTATAATTTTAATTTAAAAGAATACACTTAGGAATTTTTTTGTAGAATCATGTATATTTATGAACATAAAAACCCTCAACTAGTCTTTAGACTGCTGTGCTCTCCTGCTTCTTGTAGACGTAACCCTAACCACTCTCCTTTCTTTTGTATGTAGGAGATCTGCCATAACCTGGGAGTGTGCTATACTTATCTAAAGCAGTTCAACAAGGTAATTCATGAAAATGGTGATGGTAGTTGACTGGAATTCACTGTGATCATTTGTCACAGAAGAGCCACTGTCCATTGTGTATTGACTCTATTGTCTGCAGAGCTTGGGGACCAAAAATTGCCTTTTATCGTTATTGCCATGTTAATACTTGTCGTTACTCATTTTCCCTAATTTTTATGATTTATTTTTTATTTTATGTGCATTGGTATTTTGTCTGCATGTATGTCTGTTGTGAGGGTGTCAGATCCCTTAGAAGTGGAGTTACAGTTGTGAACTACCATGTGGGTGCTGAGAACTGAACCTGGATCCTTGGAAGAGCAGCCAGTGCTCTTAACCACTGAGCCATCTCTCCAACCCATTTTTTTCTTACTTTTGATTAAAAAAAAAAAGTAGAGGAGTCTAGAATATCAGTGGTGGTCCAGTTGCCTTCTCTCTTTCTCTCTACCTCCCATTAAATGTTCTAGTATAGAAACAAATGTCCAGCAAGACACATATCAAAAAGTGGACCTTCTCAGGCCATTGTTGCACACTCCAGTAATTTCACCAGTTCAGAGACTAACAGCAGAAGCTCCTGAGTTTGAGACCAGCCTAAGGGCTAGTGAGACACCGTTTCAAAGAAACATACATACGCACACACATGCGTTTGCCTTAAGGTGTCATTTTGACCATGATAACCATCTTATGCTTTGACAACAACTGATTTTTACTTTTTATTTTGTTTTTGTTTTTGGAGACAGGGCTTGTCTGTATAGCCCTGGCTGTCCTGGAACTCACTCTGTAGACCAGACTGGCCTCGAACTCAGAGATCCACCTGCCTCTGCTTCCTGAGTGCTGGGATTAAAGATGTGGACCACCATGCTTGGCCTTGATTTTTGCTTTTAAGGTCAATGGAAAATGAATTTAAGGGGATTGAATTTTGTTTTGTGATAAGAATTTTTCTGATGTAAATTTATATTTCACTCCAAAGAAACTTTGCTCTAAGACTTTGATATAAGACAAAGCATGTTAATCTTACCTTGGTTCTCAAATTAATAAATAGATACCTGTTTTTTTGTTCAAATTAAAACTTTGAAATTTTTTATTTTATTATGTTTATGGATGTTTTGGTTGAATGTATGTCTGTGTACCATGTGTGTGCCTGGTCTCTTTGGAGGCCAGGACTTCGGATCCTCTGCAACTGTAGTTACATACAGATGGTTGTGAGCCATCAACTGGGTGTTGGGAATCAAACCTCTGGAAGAGCAGCAGTGTTCCTAACTGCTGAGCCATCTCTACAGCCCTAGAAATATGTCTTAATTGAGGAACAGATGAATTTTTGAGAGTTCCGAAGGGTAGTGATAGTGATTAGGTAGTTTCCTTCATAACCTGGTGACTGTGAGACTTTGTTCTCCTTTTTTTTTAACCTCTACCAAGACTGACTCTCATTAATACCCATTTAACACGGCTTTGCAAGATCACAATGTAACCTAGTCTGTCTTTCAGGGATATGAAAAAATACCTGCATATTAGCAATTGGAGTGTAAGAATTATTTTTTGTGATATATATATATCACAATATATATATATATCACATATATATATATCAAAATAAAATAAAATACATATTCAGTGGACACATAAGTTTTCTTGATGAATCTATAGTTTTATACAGCTGATTAAATTTTTCTCTTCAGAGAATATTTTGATCAGGTACATTCCTGTTCATAGTATAGCTAAGTCAAGGGAGAGGGAAGATTGGTCTTTGGACCTGTACTGAGGCAGAGAGTTACATTTAGATTTATTATACAGGCTAAACAAACACAACACCTGACATTTATAGAACCCTCATTGAATCAGTGAATGAAAACATTTTATTCAGCCTACTAAGATGTAGGCTCCTCCAGAGCAAAAAGTTATATTATGTTTGTTCTTGTTGTGTGGTGTTGAAGACTGAACCCAGGGCCTCCTCGAGGCAGGCCCAGCCATAGCATTATTTTCTTGTTAACTCTAGTATACCAGGCATCTAGACCAGCAGTTACTCAATGAATACTTGTTGAATGCATAAATAAGAACAACTTTTAGGCTAGCCTCTGGAACTCTATCCAACATGGCATCTGAGTGCAAGACTCAGTTATCCAAGAACCTGCTGCGTATGAAGTTCATGCAAAGGGGCCCGGACTCAGAAACCAAGAAACAACTGGAGGAGGAGGAAAAGAAGATGATCAGTGATGAGCACTGGTACCTGGATCTGCCAGAGTTCAAGGAAAAGGGGAGTTTCATCACTGAAGAGCAGAGCTTCTCACTATGTGAAGATCTTCTCTATGGAAGGATGTCGTTCAGAGGATTTAATACTGAAGTTGAGAAGTTAATGCTTCAGATGAATTCTAAGAACAAAGCCACGGCAGAAGAAGAAGAGACAGTGGAGGTGGATGTATTGGATGAAGAGATGGCGAGGAGATATGAGACTTTGGTGGGACAATTGGAAAAAAGTTTGCCAAGAAGAGGGACCGAGCCAATTACGAAGAAGAGGGAAATGGAAATATAAAACCCATTAGAACAAAGATGTTCTTAAAGCCCCAAGATTAAAATGGATGCCTCGGATACACAGATGCCTGTGAGTGAGCACAGTGGGTTTGAGGTCCTCCCCGTGGCGTCTGTAGTGGTTAGTGCTCCAGTGTTACCTGTAAGGAGTGTGCTGTTGTTGAGACAGATGTGTAGTGGATGTTATACATCCTTTCAGTGGCATTCTTCAGGGTCTTCAATGTGTGGGCACATGCCGCTCCTATTTGACCTGGGTTTGATCTGTGTGTGTGTACACACCGACAGGACACATGTGAACAGCTCTCTCTCACTGTCCTGGGATGACTGTTGTAAACTAATTATTGCCATTGTTTCAACTGCCCTTATATTTATAGTTTACTTTTTTAATCATGTCAAGCCAATTCATCCATTCACTTTGGAATCAAATATTTGAGTACTTTCCAGAAGTGATTGACCAGGAGCAGACATGTCTCTCTAACCTGAAATGACTGTATGCTGCTGGGTCTTTCTCATCTGCAGAGGTGTGGTTTTTTGATTATTTAAAGCAGTCAATTGGGTCGTTTTTCTAACATTCTGTAATAAACATCTGTTTTTATAAAAAACAAAAAAACAACTTTTATGTTAATTTGTGTTCATATTGTTGAGGAAAACAAGGTCCAGCTGGCAAAGGTTGTTCAGGTAGTCAGGAGTGTAGGTGGGATCAAGTTTGCTGTGGTATTCTGTACTGTACTGTGATGTCGCTTTGGGGTTATGAAGTTTAAGTCATAGGTATAAATGTCAAGCAGGAAACATTAAGAAACTTGATCATCTCATAAGAACTCAGCAAGGCCAGCTAGGCTATGCTTGGTTTTTAGATGGTAAAAGCTATTTTCTGAGACATGATATTCCCACATAAGAACATCAAAGCTCTGCTTTCATATTCACCATAGGAAACCATTGTCCTTCAGTGGTATTAATTTGGTTTCTTTACTCCATTAAACTTTAATTAGGCACAAGACCAATTGCACAGTGCCCTCCAGCTTAACAAGCATGATCTGACTTACATAATGCTGGGGAAGATCCACTTACTGGAGGGAGACCTGGACAAGGCCATTGAGATCTACAAGAAAGCAGTCGAGTGAGTGTCTTTCTCTTAGACTCTAACCAGCGTGTCCACCTTTTAACATTGCAACATGAGATTATCACCCTCAAGAACTACACAATTGAATAACAAAAAATTGTACACACACAAAAAAAATCGCAGTTTTCTGTAAGTCTGCTATTTTTGTTGGGACACATTCATAGCTATTGTGGAATGCATGCAGCCCATGGGCACAGGTTGGACATACCTACAGGAAGCGATGAGAAAAGCAATGGAACAGATATGTTAGGAGAACAGATTGTTTCTTCTATAACAGTGTCCATTCTAGGCTAGCTGCTCCACAGGCCAACTGGAGATTTAGGTTCCTTAGGTGTTTTTTTTCCCACCTGTCTGAGTAACTAACTGTAACATGTGTTCCAGAACATATTGAAGGAAGATGATACTGGAAGCTAAATATGGAGTAAGCATCCTAGTTTTAAATAACCCTAAAATTGTACACTTTTTGAAATTAGGTAGGAGCACACAGTTGCAAGGGAAGTGGACGGGCATGCACTCAGCTAGAATTTGGGGTTAGCTGGCAGTGCGACTGTCTAGTTAAATACTTCATAGCAGATCCTTTGTTCCTAGAGATCATATTAGGAACAGAAATCTCCTAGCTCAGTAACAGACAGCTGGTTTTACTAGTCTAAGACCACTATGTCCTGTGTTACTGTTGTTTTGGTTTTTTATGCTGAGGATAGAATCTTGTCCATGCTTAACCGAACACAAGTACTGTAACTGAGCTGCACTCCAGTCCCGATAGCATGGGTTTTGCTGTTGCTGCTGTTTGTTTAAAAATATCATTCAGATAGTCTAATCTGTTGATAATGGATGACTGAGTTTCTCGTGCTGCTGTTCCATGTTTCCTCTCTAGGGACACCTGGAATCTTGTCTTTCCTGTGTAGTATTATCTTGTTTCATTTATTTATTTTGAGACAGGATCTCAGTATATATCTCTGGCTGCCTTGAATTTGCTATGTAGACCAGGTTGGCCTTGAACCTACAGAGACCCACCTGCTTCTGCACCTGGCTTGTTTCTTTTAAATAGGACAGCTGTAGTATAAAATGTTCAGGTATCTTGTTTGATCACAGAATAGAATGTGTGACTCATGGACTAAAATTTGAACTGGTATAGAGTACTGGTCACTTCTTAGCTTCCTTGACCACAGGGTAAACTTCCTGGCTATATGAATCATAGCACTGCTTTCTTTTCTGCATCTTATTTAACTACATTTTGTGACAGAAAAATCTCTTCTGTTTGGTAAACTAAAACAGTTTCTATTATCAAAAGGTCAGGCTTATGTGGGCAGGTAGGAAGGAGCCATAGAGTAAGTCAAGTCCTGTAATGCTGGAGAGTCGGCCTGTTCCTGACCTTTGTCCTTACAAGTTGGCATTTTGAGTTAGTGCACATGAATCCCGTGAGGGTACTGACAGTGACCACTCAAGAGATTTGAGTCACTCAACTTCCCGAAGGAGAAAACCAGACAGTTGAGTATTTGAGAAGGTAGGTTCTTGACCCAAAGCTTTGGAGAGGACTGTTCTTGGAAGGGGGACAGATCCTGATGGAATCAGAAGAATGGGAAGGACAGGTTACATATGTGGTTTGGGAGGGACATGACCAAGATGGATCCTTTCTATAGAAAAGTGAGAGGCAGGTTCTCATTTGCACTGAGAAAGTTGTTTGCCAGCTCAGGCATGGCTTGGGCTTGGGCTCTGCAGGTTCTGGACTTCCTACAGGGAACAAGCATCCTCCTTCCTTCCTTCCTTCCAAGCAGGAGACAGCTCCTTGCTCTTTGATGCTTTAACTGTTGAAACTGATGATCCTATATTCAGATGGTCTCAGCTATGTTGCTTTGGCTTTTTGACAAAGACAAGAGAAGTCAGATAATACTTAGGTCAGTGTTTACTCCCAAGACCCAGTGTCTAATTCTTTCCAAAGGGCTGCTATGTGCCTTCCTTATTTTGTTTAGTTTGGCAAGTTAGTTTAGAGAGCACAGCATCAGGGGCCTTGGAGTCCTAAATGACATAGTACTGAAGTAGGCTACCTACCATTGTAAGCACAGGGAAAGTGGCAAAGAGCCGTCTCAACAGAAGGACTAGCATAACTGTGTCCTGACTGACTTGCCTTAAGCTTGGTTATTTTCAGTGTGATGAATCATTCCACACAGTCCTTTTTTAAGGTTGCTGTTGGTCCAAAAGAAAGGCTCCAACAACGAGTCTGGATTCTAAGCCCTGCTTCGTTCTGCTGAGCAGGTTTTCTCTGTTGCCAGGATTGAGATGATTTGTTTTTTAAGGAAATTGCCAAATTGCCCTCAGAAGTTTACATGGGAAAGGAAGAGGTTTAATAAAGGGTCCTGGATGTTGGCAGTGGGGCAGATGACTGTCAGTCTGTATCTCATAATCATGGTTTCCTTGTGAGCATCTCTATGTTACAGGTTCTCACCAGAAAATACAGACCTTCTTACAACTTTAGGATTACTCTACTTACAGGTAATGAAAACTGTTTATTCACACATTGGCATTAGAAACGCTTTAGGGGTTTTATCTATGGTGGTTTCCTTCATTTTTCTATATAGCACATTTTACTAACAGTCACAGTACACACATGAACCTTGGTTTGTTTTTATATACTCATTGCTAAAAGAATTAACATTGGCTCTCAAGTCATAATTGTATTTCAGCCTAGTATAATAGCAATTCTTATGCAATAGGGAAGGTATATATATGAAACAGCTGTGTGGTTTGGGGGCTGTTATCTTATTGTTGAGGGGAAGGAAGAAAAACTGATATATTTTACCATTTTGTACTGTTTCGAGGCCAAGATTGCTCCTGTTGGTTCATCTTGCTAGCCAAGGTCCTGCAGGAGATAGGAGCAAGGGATATATTTTTAGAGAGGAAACCTCCCCTTCCCTTCAGATTCCTAAGTGTGGATGGGACTCTTAACTCTGCCACTTCTGTCCACCGGAGTCCCTGAAGCCCCAGGTCTCTGAGCTGTCTTACCTTGCCAACCCTACAGGTGCCTGCTCAGCTGATGTGCCTCTAAAGTAGCTTTTATAACTGTTGCTTTAAGAAGAACCAAGAGTTTAACTCTGAGTCCTCTGGGCTTTGGCTTGTGAGCAGGCCTAAAGGGACATGAAGCAAACTACCACAGTCCTGGCCAGGAGGCATTACTTTTGATCAGAATGAGTGTTTATGAAATGTTTTTTTTGGAGGCAGAAGATACTTTAATCTTATTAGGAGAAAAATAAACAAAATAAGAAACTCACAAACATGGAGATTTGCATTTTATTTGGTATACTCACTTTATTTTTTTTTATTATTATTAGTATTTTGGGGGTGGGGTGGGGTCAAGAGAACTCACAGATGACTGCATGCTTCCATTCAGGGTATGGTTGACTAGACTCCTAAACCGACGTCTCCCCTGACGTCAGTTCTTTGCTTTCCTTCCTTCCAGCTTGGTGTTTACCAGAAGGCATTTGAACACCTTGGGAATGCACTGACCTACGACCCTGCCAACTACAAGGTACTGCAGGCTTTAGAACTACAGGGCCTTCCTATAGATGGTTCCATGACCTCTGTAGATGATCAGATCCAGGCAATAGGATAGGTTTCTCATTTTAAACACCCAAGAAGCTTTGTGTGTATCTGTATGTTGGTGCCTTTTATTTCTAATTCTTACTTTTAAAAGTTAGTTCTTAGGCTGGAGAGATGGCTCAGAGGTTAAGAGCACTGGCTCTTTCAGAGGTCCTGAGTTCAGTTCCCAGCAACCACATGGTGGCTCACAGCCATCTCTAATGAGATCTGGTGCTGGTGCCAACTTCCAGTGCACAGGCAGAACACTGTATACATAATAAATAAATTAATCTTAAAAAAAAAAAAAAGCTAGTTCTTACTAAAAGTATCATAAAGTGTTGACGCTCAGCTTCTTCAGAAGAAGCACATTTGTGGTAACAGACTGTTACAAAGTCCAAGTGCCATTAGAGTTCATGTGTTACTTGAGAATTTAGCCAAGCTTCCACAACAATTGTCGAAAAAGAATGTTTTGATCCTAATGAATTTGAAATTATAACTTCCAGATTGACTTGGGGGTGAGAAAGAAAATCAAGAGAATGAACATTACTGAGGGAGACATATCTAGTTATGGCTGTTAGATAAAAACTTGGTCATCATTTAGGAAGGCAGTAGCTTGGCTCTGCTGGCTCCCCATCTTGATACCTTTCCTTAAAAAAATGATAGGGCTGGACTGATAAAAACTAAAGCCAAGCCAGGTGTGGTGGCACACACCTTTAATCCCAGCACTTGGGAGGCAGAGACAGGTGGATTTCTGTGAGTTTGAGGCCAGCTTGGTTGAGTTCCAGGACAGCTAGAGCTGTTACACAGAGAAACCCTGTCTTGAAAAACAACAAACAACAACAACAATAAAAAGCCAAAAAAACTAAAGCCAACTCACATTGCATCCTGAGCCAGAAAGAGCGGGCTATTAAGTAGCCATATACGGGTATATGTGAGGTGTCGGGAGCATTTCATGCACAAAGATGAAAGGCACTAGTTACCAGAGTACTGATTTCCCTAGCTGGAAGTAAGAGACAAATAGAGCTAGATAGAGCCAATAACATTATATGTTTTTAATGCTGTGGGATTCCAAAGATATTTCTTAGGAGCAGCTGTCTTAGTAGTTTGGGTATATTCATATACCTGGAAGAAGTTTCTTGGTCATGTCTGTGCTAATGAGCTTACTATGTACATTCAGGAGACCGTCTCATGGCCTTGAACTTCTTGGATGACGGAATTATTAACTTTATATGCACTGTGTTTTTCAGGCTATCTTGGCAGCAGGCAGCATGATGCAGACCCATGGGGATTTTGATGTTGCCCTCACCAAATACAGAGTTGTAGCTTGTGCTATTCCAGAAAGTCCTCCACTTTGGAATAACATTGGGATGTGTTTCTTTGGCAAGAAGAAATACGTGGCAGTGAGTGTTCCTTACAGTCCTTGTTCATACTCATCCATGTGGTTATTGGGTCTGCTGAACTTGTCTTACCTTGGTTGAGTGCCCCTGTTTCTGCAGGCTATCAGCTGCCTAAAACGAGCCAATTACTTGGCACCCTTCGATTGGAAGATTCTGTACAATCTGGGCCTTGTCCATTTGACTATGCAGCAGTATGCATCAGCATTCCATTTTCTCAGTGCAGCTATCAACTTCCAGCCAAAGATGGGGGAACTCTACATGCTCTTGGCTGGTAAGGGACATTTATATAGAAACCCCTTCTTGTGAGTTATAATGATGGAAAAGTTAATTAGGATCACAGGTTAGTAGCTAAATGCCCTAAAATAGACATTCCTTTAGAGATCCTATAGGAATCAGAATTACTGCCTCAGAGTTTGAAGAATTTAAAAGAAAAAGTGACCAAGGAGCTGGTTGCTTTAACCTGAGGGATTTGAACTCAGAATCTTAACAGGTTAGATAATCTGTATTCGTAGCTCTTTTTTTTTTTTTTTTTTTTTTTAAGATAGGGTCTCACTGTGTGGTCCTTTCTGGCCTGAAACTTACTGTGGTCTTCAGCTCAGAGATCTGGATGCCTCTGCTGGGATTAAAAGTGTGTACCACTACACCTAGCTTTTTAAAAAATAATTTAAGATTTATTTTTAATTATGTATATATGTGTATGTCTGTGTGTGAGTTTATGCACGTGTAAGTCCAGAAAAAGGCATTGGGTTCTTTGGAACAAGAGTTGCAGACAGTTGTGAGCCATCTGATGTGGGTATTCTCACAACCAAATTTGGAGGTCCTCTGCAAGAACAGCAAGTGCTCTTAACCACCGAGCCATCTCTCCAGCCCCTCATAGTTCCCCTCTTAACAGTTTTTTCTTTTTCCTATTGGTATTCTTTTTTTTTTTTTTTTTTTTTTTTTTTTTTGGTGCTGGAGATTGAACCCTGGGTCTTGCATGGAGCTAGGTAAACCTTCTACCACGGAGCTGTGCTAACAGCCCTCATATATATTAGGAACATGGGTATAGGGTGGAGTTCTGCCTCCACTACTAACTGCATATACCCAGGGTTGATGTGAGGATCATATGACTAAACATCATTTGGGGCTTATTGTGGTTACTAAATCATTTGTCCCTTTTCAAAAACAAACCAAAACAAAACATTTATACCACAGTGCACATATGGAGGTTGGAGGGCAACTTGAGGGAGGAGTTTGTCTCTTACCATCATGTGGGTTCCAGGGATCCAACTCAACTCATCAGACAACAAGCACCCTCACTCGCTGAGCCATCTCATTGACCCGATTATTTTGTTAATATAACTGGTCTTTGGTAGTTCAAGTCAAACTAGACTATCATTCTAGTCCCAACTTCCATTTATGACATACAAAATAAATTAAAATTAAGGTGGGCAGAGGTGGAATATGTCTATAATCCTAACTTTGGAGGTAGAGGTAGGAAGATAATGAATTTGAAGCCAGCCTGAGCGGTTAGTGAGACCCTGACGCTGTTTCAAAAACCACAACAAAAATCTTTTAAAAAACTAATGAAATATTTCTTCTAGGGAGTATTTTCTGGTGTGTATTTTGGTCATTACCATGGTGTTTTCAATTATGAAAGAAAAATCAAAGGCATCTACATGGTGGTTGTTTGGAGAACACCAGAATACAAAGCTAGCTCAAGTTTCAGGAGAGTCACAGCCTTAACTGTAAGACAAGAGTGCCTCACTGCTTACATTAGGGTAGAAGCATCAGTTCTAACTTGACGAAGTAGAGCAGCCTCACACGGTCTTCAGGACAAGCTAGACTCGAATGGCCACATGGTGTGTGGCTGTGGAATGGCACAGGGTCCTTCTCTAGTCCTAGTTCTCATAGTTGCCTGTTTGGCTGCTTGGGGAGGTGGAGTTGGCAGGACCCTCAGAGTAGCTGTTTTTAGGTTTATATATTAGGCTTTCAGGAAATCCTGATTTGGGGGGGGGGGGGGGGGGGGAAGAGGAGAATGTTCTGTGGCTCACTGAAAGTTTTAGCGACCATGGTTATAGATGATGGAGAACAAGCAAGGATTCTTAGGTGGAACAGTGATGTGGTCAGTGTATTTGTAGGTCAGCGAGAGGATGGAGGCAGGTGGGGACAAATGAAGAACTTTGGGCTTGAACAAGGGAAATACTCGAAAAGCAGTGGCAAAGTATGAGGCATAGCTGCAGTCTGTTGTGGTGAGGCAGCTAAGCCGAAGGATGAAAGAGGCTTTATTTCGAGAGTGGTCTACAGTATTGTTTTTGCTAAGATGAGCTCTCCTAATTTTCTCTGTGGCAGTGGCTCTGACCAATCTGGAAGATACAGAAAATGCCAAGAGAGCTTATGCAGAAGCTGTCCGCCTGGATAAGTGAGCATACTGTTGTGTGGGGAAGGGCAGGGAGTGTTATTCTGCAAAGTGGGCCATAGGACTAATGCTGCCAGAGTCAGCTTAGCCACTACGTGGCATAAATTGGGAAGGTTGTGGTTTTTAAGCAAGTAGAGCTTGGCAAAAATTAAAAGCCTGAGAAAACAACTTCCAGTTCTGAGCTCTATAATCAGGAATCCAAAGCAAGTCAAAGAGTTGGCAGCACTCTGGCTTGGGTTGCTGATAAGCTGTGAGCTAACCAGATTAGCAGGTGGGAGCCTGGGCTCAGGTTAACCAACGAGAAACAAGATTCCTGGGGGAATTTATTCCCCCAGCATTTGCTACACAGCAGGTCTGGGATGTCTGTGCAGCCCTTCCCTGGGTAGCTTTGTTGGTGCCAGACTTGGTCCTTATCCTGCTTTGCTCCTTGACTCTGCTCTGTGGGTCAGTCACATAGCACTTTGCTGTATAATGGGGACAACCCTACTTAGTCAGTTTTGTTTGGATTTTGTATGAGAAGGATCTTCAAATGACTAATTATTGCAGAGCCCCCGTCCCACAGAGTCCCTGTCTCTCTGCACAGGTCTAACCCTTTAGTAAACCTGAACTATGCTGTGCTGCTGTATAACCAGGGCGAGAAAAAGGGTGCCCTGGCTCAGTACCAGGAGATGGAGAAGAAGGTCAACTTTCTCAAGGACAACAGTCCTCTGGAATTTGACTCGGAGGTATGTCTCTTATTAAGCAAGCTGTTAGCAAATGAAAGGTATCATAAGCTCATGTTTCTTTTAGCTTCATGTTCATTGCAGCATGCATTTACCAGTTAGTTACAGTCTTAGACAAACTTTGCTAGAGGAAAGTAACAAAATAATTCAGGTTTACTGTGTTCTTACTAATACAGCTTATCAGGAGCAGGCAGTTTGCCCAGTGAAGCATCAAACTTGAATGGTTGCATTTTGAGACCCTTTTTCGGAGTCCCCTTGGTATCCAGTAAGCAACCTGTATTCTCTGTTAGAGAATGATTTCCTTAGGCCAAGCATGAACACACACTTGTAATCCCAGCACTTGAAAGTGATTTCCTTATTATAAGTACTTCCTCTTTCAACTGCTAGTACCAGCAGGCAGCTTGGCTCTGCTGGTCTTGTCAATGGCTTTTTTTCTTCCCGTGTGGGCACAAGATGGTAGAGATGGCTCAGAAGTTGGGAGCTGCCCTCCAGGTTGGAGAGGCACTGGTCTGGACCAAACCAGTCAAAGATCCCAAGTCAAAGCACCGGACCAATTCAGCTAGCAAATCCGCTGCTCTCCAGAAGACTCTCGGCACCTTTCAAGCTCTAGGAGAGGCGATGGCTTCAGCAGCTGCATACAGGAAACTCCCTTCAGGTAGGAGGCTACACAGAGCTCTGTGAAGACTTTGTGGGGATAACCTGCTTCAGCCACCAGAGATCCCAGCTTTGAATGAGGCTTGCACTCTGCAAGCTCATGGCCAATTCAGTACTAGCCAGAGGGGAAAAGCCCAAATCAGCATTTGTTTTTGAAGGGCAAACTGTTAGGTAGATAACAATACAGGCAGGCTTAGCTGGGAGTCAGTTTTTAGGGTTAGAAATGCATTTACTAAGTGCATACTGTTGTAAATTTTTGCTTTAATTTTCACAAGTTTAATGTTTTATTCCTTCAGTTTTATGGGTGTCCCTTCTAGCTGCAGGATGCACTACAGTCTTGATAGTCTCAGACAGTACAGAGTTCCCTCTTAAATGATTTCTTCTGAAATGGAGTAACTGAGAATTCACGTTTTGTTTCCTTGCAAGGTGCTGTAGGAGCCCAGCTCACAAAGCCACCATCACTTCCACTGGAGCCAGAGCCAGAGCCCACCGTGGAGGCAAGTCCAACAGAAGCATCAGAACAAAAGAAAGAAAAATAGCAACAAACACGAGAAAAACAGGATGACCCTGGAGTAGGGGTCTCTTAGGTGAGACCATATAGAAGATGGTCATATGACCCAGGCAGATGGAGGCCAGCCCTGTTCCCTGGATGGGTACTGCAGAATTAAAACAGAACCCAGGGTGCATTGTGATGATCAGGAGGAGCCTAAGGCCCATGCAGCTCTTGGCTGGCCCCATCATCCAGGAACGAGGGAGAAGACATGCTAGATAGGCTTGAGGCCCTGCACGTATAGATCCAAGACTCAGCAAGGCAAATGATCAAAGACTATCACTCGATGAAGGACTTTTATCTTGATAAAGGGAAAGGGACCTCTGCTCAGTAGCCTATGGTAATGAAGCCTCATTCTAACTGGACTGTGGAAATACATCAGTCCCCACTGTAATACAAACCTTGAATTGAGAACCTAGTTAAACAGGGTCCCCTCCCTTCTTTTAGATTAAGTTGAGACCCAATCTGGAATATATTCTAGCTGTATTTGCTCAGAGAATCTAAAACAAGTCTCTATTTTCATTCTTAAAAGAGGTTAGAGTCTGGAGCCAGATCATGTCAGTATAAGTAGTAGGAGTCAAGGCTGGTCTGGAATTGGCACCGAGGATTTAAAGAAAAGGGTGTGGGTAGGGTGACTGAGGATAGAGTTCAGTTGCTAGAGTACTTGCTCAGCTTGCACAAGGCCCTGGGTTCGATCCCCAGTACAGCTGAAAAAGAACAAAGCTCTTAGCCAAGGAATTTTAACCAAGACAATCAATGATGAATGCTGACAAATGCTCTCCTGGCCCATTAGCGGCCTCTGTAAAGATTATGGACCACCAAGAGGTCGCATTAAAAGCTTTTTTTTAAAAAAAACAACAACAACAACCTGTGATCACTGTCTATCTTTACCTATTTCCAAGCCTGGTTTGCACCTATAACCACTTCAGAGCCAAGCTGGTCTTGCCTATAGTGTGGCCTCACAGCGGCCCAGAGGGTTGGCTTCCTCTGAGGCAGTCCTGGTTTTCACCTTAACTGGAAGCTAGAAAACTGACATGCTGTCAAGGTGGAGTGTGGAGTTTTTTGGTATTATGGCTGGGTCTGATTTGACAGACTGAACAGAGATCCTCTTAAGTTCTCTTACCTCAGATGGCAAGCACAGTCCCAGAGGTGATTCCTTTGCCCAGGTAGCAGGCTTGTCATGGAGCAGTCAACAAAACTCTCCATCAGCATGAAAGGTAGTATAGACTAAACTGATTGACTAAACTAAAGGTGTTGGTGAGAAATAATAGGAGTTAGAGAAATAACAGGCTTAGAAGGAGAGGAGAAAGAAAACGTGAAAGAAACCCAGGCGCTAAATCAGCAGAAAGGAGGGTCTGGCTGTAGGTGACAAATGAGAAGAGACTGTTAGGTAGGTGGATACTCAGTCTCGACTTAAGACGAGGCATATGGGTGACTAGGATCAAGGACTTTTCAAGTCTGGTGGTAGGTAGCCCTGGTCTTTGAGATAACCCAATGATACCTTACTAGACACCTAAATAACCTGAGTTGAGAAACGAAATCTGTTTAAAGGTTCTGCTAGAGAAGTGGTTCTCAACCTGTGGGTTGTGGCTCCTTTTGGGTGTCAAACAACCCTTTTACAAGGACTGCATATAAGATCGCCTACATATCAGATAATGCAGATTATGATTCATAACACTAGCAAAATTAGTTGTCACGTAGCAACAAAGTAATTTTATGGTTGGGGGGTCTCCACAACATGAGGAATTGTATTAAAGGGTCTCAGCATTAGGATGGTTGAGAATCATTGTGTTAGAGGAATCTGGATTTTGTACTAGCTGAAGAGCATGGGCTTAGGAAGTCTCTTAAGAGCAAGTCTATTGGGGAGGAACCTATAGTTGGGAAAGAAAACCCATGTCAGAAGGTATATGCCAGGCTGCACAGGATTAGAACCTGCAGTTGGACATAACCTCTGATGGTTCATCACCAAGCAGGGATACACCCTTGGGGAAGCAGTGGTGGCTACAGAAGCCCATGCAGAGATTAAGCTACTCATTTTATAAAGCTTCAAAGTAGAGGAGAAAAATCTCTAAGGGTGGAACTGAATTCCTTACTCTGAGAGGACTTTAAATATTTTTAAAGACAGGGTTTCGTGTAGTCCAGGCTAGCCTCAAATTTACTATGTAGCTGAGAGAATAGCCTTTACCCTGTTCTTCCTGCCTCTACCTTCCAATGCTATGGCTAACAGGAGTGTGCCACCACCACTGGCTAAATCTTAGTATCTGAGGCTAGACAAGTGCACAGTGCTGTTCTCTTCAGGTGAAGTGTGGCAGAAACCAAGAGGCCTGCTCAGTTTCCATTCCTCAGGGGCAGTATGGTACCTTTCTTCCAGGAATAGTCACAAAGCAATGCTTTCCATAGTGCCTGGACTTAGGTTTTCTTAGATAACAAACTGTACATGTCCAGTCTTCTGGGGGTCTAGATTCGCAGTTTCTCATTCATTCTGAAAAGAATAAAAAGTTATTCTATGAAGGCAGCTCACAACACAATTTTAACAGATTTAGGAAAGTGAGATCATAATGATAGTCACAGATATAGGTATGGCTTTGACCCTTTAGAAAGACTGAATCCCCAAACTGACAATACTAAGTGCTAGCAAGGCTTCAGCATAGGTACCTTGGAACTAAATTTGGCAGATCTTTTTAAAAAAAAAACTAAACATATAATCCAAAAGTATTTGCTGAAATGAATTAGAAACAATCCTGATGCCCAAACCTGTGCATAAGTGAGTGAGTGAATAACTACAGTGGAGCCAGACAGAGGAAAAGTGCAAAATGGAGCTATATCAAGCTGAGAAAAGGATGTGGTCAGTGCATAATACCAAGTGAAAAAGCCAGTTTGAAATACCCACAAACTGCATGATCCTAACTAACAATGTGTTCTGGAAATCTAGCCATTCCACAATGTAAGCATATTTCAAAACTATGTTATCTACAGTGTGTATATATATATTTTACCAGTAAAAAAATAAATCTGTCCTCAGATTAACACTATGCATAGGAATTAAGTCAAACTACATTACAGACCTAACTGTAAACGCTGAGGCTATAAAGCGCCAAGAAACCTTGAGCCTGCATGGATGATGTGTCATTGTGTTTCCCAGGGAAGACAACTATTAGGACAATAACATGAGCATTAGGCTGAAGCTTGGAGAAAACAGACCTGACAAAGACCTTATCATACCTGAAAACATGAAGAAATCTTTTAGCTCAGTAATAAGAAAAACCAACCCAAACACTCAATTAGGACAAAGTGTGCAATTTTACAAAGGAAAGTATAGGAGTGGCCAACTGAGCACTGAGAAGGTGTCTAGCGTTTGTCATGTGGGAAACTGAACACTGAAAACTCCCACTTTTATCAAGAACCAGACAGAATCAGGACAGTCAAGTTGTCAGGAGAGTAGAATGGTCTAGCTGCTTTGATAAGGGTCTTTGCCTGGCAATTCTGGTCCTACAGATTTTCACCCAAGAAGAATCTATTCAAGCTCTTGTTGGTGAGAGTTTATTCACCTGAAAGTGGAAACCTGTATGTACTTACAGCCATAAAATACGGAACTGTATGAAACATGCATGACTCTCTAAAGCACCCTTGAGCAGCTTTATACAGGACCAGTCAGTGAATATTTCACTGATAAACCCAGAACAGTCAAGAAAAAATAGTTAACTAGGGGTCAGGGTTAGGGATGGGATGACTTGGAGGAAGCTTGGAGGATTTAGCTGGTGATGGAAACATATTTGCTGAAACTTACCAAGTGGTGAATTGTGCAGTTTCATAACATACATTTTTTAACCTAAAACACAACCAAACAAGAAAACACTGGATTACAACAACAGCTTTCAAAGGACTTCAGGTGGTCTTAGACGCAGAGGTTGCCTGTTCAGCTTAGTGAGAAGTGGCGATTATTAAACTTAAAATTATGTGCTGCATACTGTGCTAAATATGTGCAGGGCATCTGTCCTTTATCAACAACCTCATTTTACAACTGAGCTAAGTGAGGCGAAGCCAAGAGAACCTGTTAGCCTTATGAAGTAACAACGCCAACGCAAATCCCCTTCATGAATTTGGATCATGCTGACTGATGTTTACCCCTGCCTCAGGCCCCTCAGTAGGAGAATCAAATGCAGACTGATGGGATAAGGGTTCCCTGCTTTTGGCTGCCATCTTACTCTCCTCCTAGTGGTACTGCAGGCCGAAGCTTTTCCCAGGTTAAATCCGTTTCAAGTGAGCGCAGCAGGGAGTGTACAGCTTCCGGGTAGCCTGTTACTGGCTAGGGGTGTACAAACCCTTTGTCTCCTTATAAACCCCGTGTGGAAACCCGAGTCAAATGCCATCCACAGCCTAGGGCTGAGGAGCACAGCCCCACCTGTTCAGTTCTACCCACCTCCGCACACTTGTCGCAGGCAACAAACAGTCTTACTTTTATGGCTTAGCCTCCTTCACAGAAAGGCACCTGTAGACAGGTGTATGCACTGTAAGTCTGTGCATTCATTCTATACAACAATCAAGTTAATAACTTCTAACATACATTCTGGTACACTTTACTCTCATCACAAAATTGACCTATCAGCTTTAGACAAACAAGCAAACTTATTTTGTGTGTTTGACAATGTAGGCGCTAGAATTTGAACTAGGTCCTCAGGACTGCAGTACTCACTCTCCAGCCTCCTGGATCTAGCAGCTGTTAATGCCCAAGGCTCATCTGTTGACAAACACAGAGGGGTTGAGCTTGGTGCCAAAGGTGGCCCTGCTAATTTTCAAGGGGAAGCAAACATGAAGGCCACTGGCCTGGGTAGGCGCTCACTACACTTCTCACTATGGTCTTTATTGGTATTACCAGCAACACCCAGAGAGGTGTTTGAGACTATACTCAGGGCAGAAGCTGAACAAGTAACTTGGAGACTAAGGAAAAGGACACATGAGAGTTTACAAAGTCTTGGCTTTAAGAAAGTTATCTCTTCTCACTTCAGCTTTCCTAATAGGCTGAAGCCCTGGTTTGCACACCTGTAATCTCAGGTGGTTTTTTTTTTTTTTTTTTGAGACAGGGTCTAACTGTAGACCAGGCTGGCTTCAAACCCAAAGAACTGCTTGTTTCTGTCTCGCAGAAAACTAATATTGACTAAGCTTCCTTGGAGGCAGAGGATTAGGCAGCAGCCACCAATATCAAGATTCATAATTGTGTAGGCTTCAGTTTTCTCTAAAAGAAGAATAAGACTTTCCCTCTTACCCATAGCGGAAAGGGGAGGTTTGCAATTCCGGGAGCAGCTAGCTGCAGGGGCTGACGTGCATGGCCTGTCCTGGGCAGACCTGCTTCCGGCTTCACACACACCTTGTACTTTGGACTGGAAAGCTTTTGGTTCTTTGACATGCTGTGCTTCCTTCCAAGAGCTTCAAGGTTGCTCCACAGCAGTAGCTTCTGAGACTGTAAGCCTGACAGGCCCACTGCTAGGGCTCAGCCTGGGAACTGACTAACCCAATGGCAGGGAACAAGGAAACACCTTCACAGCCAAGTGACATGAAGGTCACTGATCCGTCCAGAGTGAGGTGAGAATAAAATCGATTAGACTTAGGATCCCTGAAGTGTAAATTCTTTTAATATTTTTAAAAGCACACAGAAATCTTGTTTTATTAAAAACTATACAACATGACACATTTATTCATGATCTTGGGGCTCTTATGAGGTCAAACTCTTTAATGGCCGAGTCAAAGCAAACACAAAACATGTGTTCTACACAGAAGCACATTCCAGTTGTAAAGCAGATCTCTTCAAGGCTCAGGAGGAACGAGTACCAGGGTTCTGTTGCAGAAAGCTCTTCCAGGACTGAGGGATGAGGCTGAGCCCAGCCAGCCCCAGTCTGTGGAGCTGGGGCAGGAAGGCATGGTCCTTCCGAGAAAGTTTAGAGTGATCAGGAGGCTCAGGGCTCACCAAGCATCTCCAGTCTGCGACCATAAAGCACAGGACTGTTTTGTCCTTTCTTGTGGCTCTGAGAGCAGGAGCTGAGAAGGTATGCACATCAAATATTGTCACTGTAACACTGAGTGGACTACTTGATTCTGCCCAGGAGCATAAGCTGTCACGACTGCCTTCGCCAGGCTTTATGAGCAGTCAGGCTTGTGGGGAGGGACAGCCCTTCTCTAGTGGGCAAGGAGAGAAGTGCTCTCTGGCTGGACGAGCTCTCCAGCGTTCAGTGTCCTGTAACAGCTGGTGGTACATCAACTGGGGACTCGGGAATGGAGGTTTTGACCTTTGTAACACAACATAAAATAACAAAAATCCAGTCTCATTAGTACATAACTTTCAATTAAACCTGAAGTGTTTTTATGTAATTGCCAATAGGCTGGAATGCATCTGTACAGTTTAATCTGCTGTGATTTCTTTGGCTGTCTTCCAATTAGATCTAGGAACTGTTGTGACACCCACAGCCTATCTTCCAAGCTATATTCTTCCTGGAATTCTTATGATGGGTGGTTTTCATTCCTCACACAAACTGCCTACAGCCTTCCTAATCAGGATGTGCTTCTGAATAGAAGAGGCCTTCAGCTGAAATGGCGTCACCAAGGCCCACAGTTCGAATGGGGTCTTTACACACCAACACGGGTGTGAAGTGGAAGGTTATTCCCTCCCTGTGCCACTCCACCACTGGCTTATTTGGGTTTAATACAATTCTGGAGCCTGACTCCGAATGGGATGTCATAAACTCTTGAGGTGCCCTTAGAGATACTCTGCTGGCATCTATGGTTTCAGTGGCACAGGCTTGTGTCCCAGCCACACGCGCTCCCGCAGCTACAGCTGCAAGCTGGTTGGCCCAGTGTCCATCCACGGTTGCCAGGATGTGGTAGACCAGCGTGTGGAAATGGATCCTGGTGAGATCTGAGGATCTGCTTTTACTCCTCCCATGTTCTTTCAAGAGCCAGAAGAGAATGTCACTGACCATACCCACATCAGGAACACCGTCCCAGGAGGAGAGAGAAGCATGAGGTCCAGATGCTGACTGGCTGAGAAACAGCAGCTCCTGTTCATTCAGCCCAAGAGAAGTCACTGCGGGAAAGACCTGCTAACAAAAATAATGACAGGTCTTTTTGGTGGATACAACCTAGCTCCTCCTGTATTAGGACACAGCCAATGACTAAACGTCAGGCAGGCATCATCTTTCTTCTTACCATGGCCCCTATGTCAGAAGTATAATTAAATCTCTGTCTCCATCTTCATGACCACTTGGGAAACTGTGGAGTTGCCTCAACACCCTCCAGACCTAGTCTTGTTATGTGTCACTGTGAAAAGGGCAGAACACATACTGTGGAGGCTCTTCCCTGTGCCTTCGCCTCTGAGGGCTCATGGGTTTCAGTAGGCATCCTGCCCATATACTTCCATGTTTTCTTACCCATCCATAAAGTAACACTGGAGCTACAAATGAAACTGATAAGATTCCTGAGGGCAGGTACCAGGGAGGAAGCAGAAAAGCTGGCTGAGGGAGCTCTCACCCCTTAACTTTTCACACTACACCTGGGTGTAGGTTCATATATTATCTAAGCTCATAAAACTAATGAGTAGCCAAGCTGACATGCCAGCCCAGGTATGAAAAGTCCGAGTTTAGGCCTGGCTCACTGGGACTTACCCAAATCATCCCTGCTATCTAAAGGGAGGTGACCTAAGATATCTAGCACTAGGGAGTCAGGTTCACCTGAAGTTTGTGTTTAACTGAAAGAAGCTGAGTTGGGCTTTCAGTTTTGCCTCTGAAATTTGCAAAACAAAACAAAAACCCCAACATTTGACACAACACCCACATGTCAGTTAGTAACTGTCAGAGCCCAAACATCTGGTCTCATGGGAGAAAGGAACTTCCTTTTGAGGCCCCAGGGCCAGAGGCAGCCTGTGAATGGCCCATGTGGTTACCTGATGCACAATGCTGCTCATGAGCTCCCTGTTGGTCATACTGGCCAGCTCTAGGTGAATTGGAATACCAGTGGGGATGTCAGAGATGGAGGTCACAACCTGCAAAGAGGACAAGCAGTGCCATTAGGACAGAAGTCAGGCAGGGGGAAGGCGGCAAGATTCGGCCCTGAGCAGACCAGATGGAC